CCTTAGGACAGATTGATTGTGGAGCTCAGAGATGTATTCCCTGAGTGAAGTGGGAAACTCTTAAGCAGAATTTGGAAGGACAAGTGAGTTGGAAGGCGAGAAGTGAGGGCCAGAAGCCCCTGGCAGAAAGCATGGAGCTCTTGCTGTTTAATCATCTGTTCTTCTCTGTGCCTGGACCCATGTCTTGCACAAAGCACAATTTGAAGGGACCTGAAGATAACTTAGGAACTGCAACTTGCAGTCTCTCAGTTCTTTAAACTTTGCACCTGGACATTTGAAGGGGAAATGAAATAATGAAAATCAGGCAGTCTTTTAATGCTTTGGTAGGAAATGATTGAAATTCTTGACTCACCAGAAGAGTGGGCTTTCTCAGGGAATTCAGTTTGTTAAACTAGCTATCTATTTCTCACCTTGGCAATCTTGGAGAGGAGAATGGAGAAATCAAAGCAGGAGTGGAGAAATATGAACTCTCCTAATTTGTACTGCCTGTGCTTCCAGAAGGAAAAGAAGTGGCATGCTTCTCACTGGGGATTCCTGCTGGCATATTTCTCCAATCTGCAGAGTCTCACTTCTGATACGTTGGGGGTCACTTCCTTTCCCTATCTTGGTTTTATCCCTTTGGATAACACATACTATTCTAAAATTTTTGAAACAAGGTCACTTGTAATTCTTTGTCTAATGATTTAGAGTTATCAGGGGCTCAATTTATACTTTGTAGAGAGGAGAAAGTCTGAAATAAGGGGTTATTTATTGTGGTGGAGAAATAACAAAAACAGGGAAATTGCCTCTCAGAAGAAACTAAGAGAGCTTTTATCTGACTTCCCAGTACTCAGATAAGAAGGATGAGACTTACTGTTACAATGTGTATTTTAAAAATGGCTATGCTCTGGGTTCAATCCCCAAGACTGCAAAGTGAAACAAATTAATAAGTATAGTAACTAATTCTCTGTTGCATTTTGCTAGTAGACAGAAATAGATGTCCTGGTATCATTATGGAAAAAAATCAGTGTGTATAATGCTCACTTTTGGTTCTTCCCACTAGAAGTGAGGTTTTTCTTGGGTTTTTTGTGTGTGTGCTAGAGTGGCAGCAAATCTTGAAGGAGTTTGGGATGTCTCTAATCTTCTGCCTCTCCAGATCTGGGCAGAGCTATAGAGGGAAGGGCCAGGGCTATTGAAGCCTTTGAATGTTCCTACAGGAACCTGGGTGGAAGAGCTCACTAATACCACCAGGAAGGAAGGAATTTATTTTAAATAAAATGCAGCATCATGTGGTTCAAACACTACTATAGCCTGGGAGTTTTTTTAAAAAAAAAACAACAAAGACATATATAATCCTATTTATTGCATAGCTTGGCACATTTTTTCGGAATCATTTTGTCACAAATTCCATAAAATTAACCTTTGCTTATACACTAGCCTTGACAAGATGGTAAGGTGGTACAACAATGCCCTTCGAGCTGATGCGTGTGTGTGTGTGTGTGTGTGTGTGTGTGTGTGTACATGCACACAAAATAGTTTGAGGGCCAGGGATTTAGCTCAGTGGTTCTGCTGCCTGCTGCTCAAGCGCAAGGACCTGAGTTTGATCCCCGGTACCAAAAACAAAATAAAACAAAACAAAAAACAAACCAACAAACAAAAAAACAAAATAGTTTGAGACTTCATAATAATGGTACTATGTGCCTAAGGTTTATTAGTTTTTTGGGGAAAAAAAGAAAAAACTTACATATGAATATGTAACTGGTTTTGTTTCAAAATTGATTTTGAAACTAGTGGTAAGTAAAGTTAAGAATGTTATATACTTTGACCAAAACTGGATCTTCAGTAGAAGTTTACCTTTTGTAACTCATTTTACATAAAAAAAAATCAGTAAGGGATATGTGAATTCAATCTTTCTTTCTTTCTGTACTGGGGATTGAACTTAGGGCCTTTACACTAAGCTAAATCTCCAGTACCCCCCTTTCTTTGAGACAGGGTCTCACTAAATTGCCCAGGCTGGGCTCAAACTTGTGATCCTCTAGCCTCAGCCTTCCAGAGTGCTGGGATTACAGGTGTGTGCCACAACACTGGGATGTGAATTGAGTTTTAAAGACATAGAGCGGTAATTCTTTGAGGATTTTGTTGTACTCATTTCTACATGATTAAAGATAATGAGGCCAGCCATGTGGTAAACAATATAAATTTAGAGATGCAAATTAATTATATAGTAGTTTATTAATGTTAAAAAAAACCCTCCTTTATGAATGTGAGGGAAATTTTCTCTGTATTCTTCATTCTTATGTGGGCTCTTTGGCAGGATTGAAAAAAACCAATTAATACAAAATCTTATTACCAAGAGAAAAACATGAAAGTTTTATTTATTTTTTCCTGTACATGGGGATTTTCACAAGAAATGATCAAAGCATGATGCCTTTATACTTTTTAGACAAAGAACAACAAATTTGTGAGGTAAAGATAGGACAAATGAATATGTAGAGATGAGTAGTAAATTCTGGGATGTTACTTAGGTGAGGGGGATATATAGAGAAGGTAGTGGAAAATAAGGGTTATTTCAGAGTTTTGTTGTTGTTGTTAATTTTCCAGTTCATTATAATCCTAATTACCAGCCTGGGCTGGGGATTTAGCTCAGTGGCACCGAACCTGCCTCAAAAGTGCAAGGTCCTGAGTTCGATCCCCAGTATCAGAAGAGAGAGAGCTAATTACCAGTTTGGAGATGAAGGCTATTTCTGGTGCTGTGATATGAAGGACATCCTTCTCAGAAGAAGCTTTATGACTTTCAGTATGTAGGAAAAGACAGGTCAAATAGCCCTTTCTGAAGTTATAGTTCTTAAGTGATTTCAGATTGAAGTAATCAATATACTAATTTAGCATATTTTGAAATGCTGCATCTGTAACTGCTTCATAACAGTATTTGCTGGGCCCTTACTATTTGTCAGACACGGCGCTGGGTGGTTAGGTAGAGCACAGAGGAAGATGAATGGCATCTGTCCTGAAGGAGCATACATTGTAGGGAGAAGGCAGAGGGAAAAACAGGATGGGGTGTGGGATGGGTGGAACCAGAGGAGGTAGATGCTGTGAGAGCCTGTTGGGAGCCCTGGAGTCACAGTGGGAGTCCTGGAGAAGGTGAGCCAGAGAAACAGTGTGCCTGGACCCAGAGCAGGAGTGAGCCAGAAAGTTGCCACACTTATATTGAGTGTTTAGAAACTTAGGTCTCTACAGTTGCTACATTATGCAAGTTGTTAAATGTTCATGTGTGTGGATCCTGTGAAAACAGACAGTCTCTCAAATGGACATTGGAAACAAGTGATGGTCCTCCTTGAGGCTGATTTATATTTGTCCAGTGTTTTGGGCTTCAGACACCTGGTGAGCATACCAGCTAGCTCACAGTCGGCAATTGCAGTTAGTTGGAATACAAACTCTGAAGAATACATAGCATAATGCTTTTTTAGAGAGGCAATTCTTTTATTACTTAGCATTTAAAATCTTTAATGCATTGTCCAAGAAGGGCTCTCACTCAGCAAATTGCAAAGGAAAGTTAAGTAGATAATTAGGATAACAGAAAGTTGGGAAATACTTTGCTGAGCTTTCTTCACACAATGGAAATGAATTAGTAATTAAAAGTTTATAGTTTTTATCAAGATAAAATGAGTTTATTTCCTTTGAATACTTTTTCTTTTCTTTTTTTTTTTGGTTTTCCTTTGTTTTCTCTCTCCCCTTACTAGGCAATTAGCTCTAAAAGGAAAAAAACTTGGTCTGTTTTGCTTTCTAGCATCTAGTACAGTACTGATCTAGTACATATGTGCACTTAATAAGTACTCACTGAATACATATAATTGAATGCATAAAACGAATGTCAATTCTGAAATGCAGTACTCAGAACATACACATATTGCAGACTACTGTAATAAAAAACAGTGAAACAAGGGCCGGGGATTTAGCTCAGTGGTTCTGGCACCTGCCTTGCAAGTGCAAGGTCCCGAATTCAATCCCCGGTACCAAAAACAAAAACAGTGAAACAACTTTTTAACTACAAGGAAATTTCTCTTGTGTATGTTGAAGTTAGTGCAATATAGCTAATTTCACAAATGGCTTTTCAATCTTATCTAACTTTTATGTTTAAATCTCTCTAACTTGGTCAGTTTTCTTACCAATATTTATTCAAAATGTGTAAGAGCAAATCTAAACTGAATAAGGGTTTAAAAAATAAATATTATTTCATTTTAAATATTATTTTTGAATCGACGAGTTCGTTCTATGGGAAAATACGTAAATATTTGCAGTTGAAAGCTGTGATACCCCACATGCTAAGAATAAATAATATATTGGAATTTCTATAATTTTTCAATAACTGAAATAATCTTTAGAATTTCATTTTTCTTTTTTTCTTTTCCCTTCTAGTTTAGGAACACGCTAGTCCAAGATTCTGGAAAATCAATATCTAAACTTGTGATCTGGTGTGAGAAAGGTGTTCTTTTCTGCCTAGAGTATATGAGGGTCACTTCAGTGATCCGCGTTTCCAGAAACTTTATTTCAAGTCTCAAAAATCTGAGTCTTAAGAGCAGGGTGACAGCCCGAGCTCTCTTCAGTCTGAGCTGTGGGCGTCTGGGTGACATCATCTCTATCTCAGAAAGATGGGATCCAGGAAGGCATTTGCCTTCGGCGGTGGAGACCTACTGGCTCAAATTTACAAAGCACTTAGGAATCCTAAGTCGCTGCCTAGCCGCGACAGTATTGCTTCTTCCTGGCATTCCTGGTGCCCACGGGCCCGTGCCCTCGCCCAGAGGACCACTTGGAAGCCGCGGAGTGCCCAGCCCCTGCCTGGCCAAGGTCTGCACCACAACTCCCCGCTGTCACTCTTGGCCTGAGGCAAGAACGGCCCAGGGCAGAATCACCCTGACACCTTACTGGTCACTTGGATTCCCGCTCCTCCACCCCACCCCTTCGCGTCCCCGCCCCTTCATATTCCAGCGCCCGCCGCCGCCCTGGGAGACTTGTCCCTAGCCGCCCGCCGTAGCCCGGCCGGCTGCCATTCCCAAGATGGCCGCGACGAGCACAGCTCCTGCGGCGGGTTAGAAGCGTAGGCGGAGCCGAGTCACTCCAGCACTCCGGGCTCGAGTCCCGGCGCCAGGCTGCAGCTTACTGCCCGCCGCGGCCATGCGGAACTCTGTGCACGGATGAGAGAAGTCATCGCCGAGCTGGTCCCCTTTCCTGCCTTCGCCGTCACTCCTGCCGCCGCCATGGAAGAGCCGCCGCCGTCGCCGCAGGAACCCGAGCCAGAGTGCAGCCTGGTGGCGAGGTGAGTGCTCCCGTGCAGCCGACGGCTGGAGCTCCATCGGGGCCGGGGTGGGGGGTTCTTCCTTTCAGGTGGGGAGGGACGCATCCAGGCTAGGGGGCAGCGGGAGGGGCGCGGTGCAGCCCGGGACCTGGCGCACCCCGAAACCCAGCCACCGCGACAGCGACCTCTGCGCAGGTCTTGCTGCAGGGTCAGCCGGAGCGTGCAGCCCGCTGGCCCTCCCTGCAGGCTTGCCCTTCTAGTTCTGGACTCAACGAAGGCTCTGGTGGCCGGAAACCCAGCGCAGCACTTTTTGCCTCGAGCTTTTGGAGCACTGGAATTCCTCACTTCGTTTCTGAAGGAAGGTGGTCGCTCACTCCGCCCTCACTCGAGGAAAGGAGACTCGGCGAAGCTAATGCACCCTTAGCTATTGCACTGCATCCTCCTACCTCCTCACCCCCACCCCGTGTGTGTTGTCTCCGAGAAACAGCACTTAAGACTAGATAGACAAGTTGGTTTCTCTTTCTGAGGGCCTTGTAGTGTATAGTCCTTTAGCAGTAGCGTTGCACGTGCATGTAAAGGATTGATTTGTCTAAAACTTTGCTGCCGCAGGAGATCTTAAGATGAAACTTTTGTATTGGAAGTATTTAGTTGCATTTTGTTCCCTTAACACCTTATTAATTACTTTTATGTCTTTAGTTAACTAAAATTTTTCCTCTTAGATGCTTATGTTTGAGTGTTCAAATGCCCTATTATTCCTAGTCCCTCTGCATCCTAGAGTCAACTTGCAAATTGCTGCCCCCTGGCCCCTATAATGAAACTACTTCCACAGCTCCTCCCATCCTTCGATCTTGCACTGTGTAGTTCTAGGAATAAGTCAGCTAAGTGTCCTTTTTCTTGCTTAAAAGAAATTTTAAACAAATTCGGTAGTTGTAGTTAGAAATGAATACAGGAGCCACATTCTCGCTTGTCATCACCCAGTCGGCCCAATACACATTTATTTTTATAAGCTGTGAAGAAAATTGCTTTACTTTCTCGATTCTAAGATACTTCTGTGAACTTTCAAGAAAGTTTTTCTAAATAATGGTACAGTGTGTAAGGAGAATTTTTTTTTTGTTCGTTTTTGTTTTTGTGGTATTGGGGATTGAACTCAGGACCTTGCAATTTTGAGGCAGGCACAGTGCCACTGAGCTAAATCCCCAGCCCAGGAGCATTTCATTTGAATTCGTCTGACATTTTTTAGAAGTCAGAAAGTTTATTTAATGTAAATTTGTTAATGAATTTAATTTTTGAGCAGTTTGGGCTCCTTTGAGCTTTTCTTTAAAAATAATAATTTTGAACATTTATTAAATGCTTAAAAGCTTAGCACTTACTAAATTACTGCTAGTAACTCATTCAACCTTTATAACAACTATGTGAGATAGGTCTTATTACCTGTCTTTTATGAACAAGGAAACCTAGGCAACAAGGTTAAGTAACTTATCCAAAGTTTCACAGCTGGTAATGAACTAAGGTCTGGCTGTGCAATCCATGCCTTAATTATCATGAGGAAATATGATTTCATTATCTAGATTGGAAGTTATAATTCTATATAACTATTTTCTGGGAAAAATGAACTTGAACATTCTTAGGTAAAAGAGAGAAGGGGAGAGAAATGAACATGTGCTGTAAAATGACTGCTTTTGCAGTGATAAAAAGAAACCTTGATTTTGCAGCCAGCTTTCTGTCTGTCTTTGTTATAATAAAAATAGGTCAGGGTAGTGGGCTTCATCCAACTTTAAATAAACAGCACTGTGTAGAACAAGAAGATCTTAGAAATGTTTTTCTTAGCAACATTGCGGTTAATTTTACAATAGCAAATCTATGGAACAGATTACTTGATAAAGCTGTTGTTTTGCCTTTTTTATGCTTTGTCATCATTTCTTCCATACACAGAGCTTACTGTACAGATTTACTGTACATCTTCAATAAAAGATGTTGCAGGGGTTCTCCATTTGTTTACTTGAATTTCTTAAGCTCAATTTGTGCAATCAAAATGTGCTAACCTGAAACCTTTTAACATATTGGAGACCAATAATGATCATTTGTGTTATCAGGTTAACTGGTTTTGCAGCAGGCCTGAATGAAGCTGTCTCTTTCATCTTACATCTATGTGTCATTGATTAGGAAGGTTGTATTAATGCACAGGTATTTTGTAGAATTCAGGCCTGTACTTGTTGGTCTCCAAAGCTGTACTGGAAGTGCACCACTGCAGCAGATGCCAGGCAGCCCAGTACATCTGCTCAGTGTGTGCTTTCCTCCCCACGCCACAGTTATGCAATGATTGAAGAACACAAAACAGGTTGAGAGGGGATAGTGGTTTATTATAGCTTTACTGCTTATTGTCTGTCAGTTGTGGATACTTCTTGTCCTTATTTTTGGTAAAGAACTCATGATGAGGATGATGGTAATTATTAGTGATTAAACGTTATAATAAATATTTCTTATAATTTTTGTTTTATGCTTCTGGAGTTTTAGGAGAATCCTGAAATTAATAGGAGTGCAATTAGAACTAATTTGAACAGTTTACCTTTGTAATTTCTTGGACCTATGCACTTAAAAAAACAGTAAGTTGGATATTAAGTCTACTGTAACCTTAAAATATTTATGTTAAATATAGCCTTAATTGCTCTTACTGATCTTATAAGTACATGCCAGTGAATCTAATGATAGCTTGTTTTTAACCAATGGCTATTATTTTATATAATGGGATTCTTGTAAGTTCATTTGAAAAAATGGGTTTCACTAAGAAAAAGAGTACTTGAATACTATCACTCATAGGTTCTTTGATCTCTCTCTTAACTTGAATGCCGAGTTTGAGCCTGCTTGTTCCAATCTTGACATTGGATGTTACTGTCATTGATTTTGCTATTGCACTCCAGACTGACCATGCAGCATTGGTGATGGCAGAACTGTAGACCACTATAGTAGTAGATGCCTGTGGTGTGGGTACCTTTACGCAGAGAGAAGCAGTCACCTGACAGCAGTAACAAAGAGCTCCAGGGGTGGCAGAAACTTCATGTTTTGAATGGGGACATCTTTGACTGGACTCCCCTTAATTGTTGTATTGTTAGAAGTTGTTCTTTTCCCTTCTCATGTGTTTTCTTGGTGTCTTGCAAATCTTGTTCTGAGCTCTATAGAAATAATGAGAATACAAAAGTCTTTAACTACTTTTTGGATATGTTTGCCTTAATAATTCCTCATTACTCAGTGATTATCTTTGTATTCATGGTGTTTTTATTTGACTAGGTGGTATGTATTTTGTTTAAAGACTTTAAGATTGCCTATCAGTAGGCTATTAGAAATAGTTTCTTTAAAGAAAAAAGGAGAATAGCTGACCCTTCTGGGTCTTTGTAGGCTCTCGTCATATTGGACGAGTAAGGTACCGGTGAGTCTCTGCTTCTCAGGCACAGCTACTCAGCTTTATCTGTGATGGATTGGTCAGCATATTCTCTTGTGTCAAAAGCCAAAGTGTAATTAAGAGATTGGCTGGTAACCATGACATTAGTAAGGGAAGTGACTTAGATGATCTTAGTGACTGATGATAACAGACCAGAGTAGCTGGCTTGCATCCCTGTCCAGCACAACCCTCACTTCTGGTATGAGAGATAGATGGTCTTATTCTTAGGTTTTCATTTTCTTAGTCTTCACACAGGTTACTTTTTTATACCTTGTCAAAATTTCCCTTGGTTGGGATATAGTGTGTTTTTTTTTTATCTTAAGCCTAATTTTAATTAGATTATGACAAATCCTTTTCCTGCTTTAATTTGGGGTATATCCTTGTCCCTTAAAGACATTTAAGAAAATCGCCTATGGTAGGGTAGGTTTTTGCTAATATAAGACTCAGAGGAACACCATAATCCCTCCACCTCCCATGAAGAATCCTTTGGGTTGGTTCCTAACAATGGTGTGGCAAAGATGTCAGTGGTTGGTTCTTTTATAAAATTCTTTTTGAATGTTGTGTTCAAAAAAGATCACAACATGGTTTTTCTGGAATTAAACCATAAATAAAATTAAATGAATTCAAATTCTGTACAGCTATTAAAAAAGTATGTTTTTAAAGAATGTGAAAATACTCATGCTAAAAGTCTTTTTGGGAGGACCTGAGTATTTTTTAAAAGATTCTCAAGTGCTTTTATTCTACAATATACCCCTCATTGTGTTTAGTGCCAGAAGTAGATGACAAAACAGTATTTGCAGAAGATGCTAGCCCAAATTTGTGGTTAAGTCCCAGCTCCTGTATCTCTCCACTGCAGGTGCTGTCAGACTGTCTTACCTCCCTGTCTTCCCTGGCCCGATTGGAAGCATCTTGTTCTTAATTCCAGCAAGTACATAAATGGAGTACAAAATGTACAAAATGAAGCTGTCCTGTCTCATCTTACAGACTTCTGGCTGTAGGAATAGACCTTTGAGTCATGCTGGAGTTTTAGGGCTCTTTACTAGGATTTTTCAGATTGGAGCTGGGGGAAAGAAATGCTCATTTTGATAATTGAAATACAATCTGTGAAGTCACAAACCACGAACTAGTTATCTAAAGCTGTGGTCAGTTTCATGGAGAAGTTGTTTGGTCTCAGATAGTGTTTTTTAATTTTTTTTTTTTTTGGTACCAGGGATCGAACTCTGGACCTTGCACTTTCAAGGCAGGCAGTGGAACCACTGAACTAAATCTCCGGCCCTCAGATAGTGATTTTTAACTCCCAGAGGAAAGCAGGCTGAAAGTGCTCTTTGGCCAGTTAATTGCCTATTATGCTAGATTCATTCTCATTTTTCTCTTGATTTAACATGTGGATGAACATATTCTCTTATTTTTAAACTATTAATTTGGTATAACTTCTTAAAATTCTAATAGTATTGTTCCATTTAAAAAAGTATGCGCATAGAAAAAAATTGGGTTATATGCTAATTTTTTCCTAAAAATTTTTATAATAAATATGCTAATATTTTTATTTTAAAATAATCTTGATTATAGGGACTAAATTCTTAAT